CCCCAAAACCCCAAAACCCCAAAACCCCAAAACCCCAGAGAAATACAATAGGATTGAAACAGTTCTAATAATTTACCCATTTAGGGTAGTATTTGCTTGTCCACCGAGACATTTCTTAACTTTGTTATAGGCTTCAATAAAATCAAACTTGTCTCCGCTCTGTTTGATAACTTCAATGCATCGCTTCTTTTCGTCAACCTTGAGAATGCTGACTTGGAAGTCTACTTCACCCAATTCTGCCTCAAATTTGATGGTTACTTTGTACTCTTCATCATCAAATTTATATTCTTTTGCGTAATCTTTGCAGAATCAAGCAATGGTATTGCAGAGCTCACTCTCGGTATAAGTTGAATAAAACCGAGTGTACTTAGCAACCTCTTTAGTGAACTCTACCAGTCTTCTCTTTATGGAGGTTTCCTTCTTCTCTTCCTCAGGGTTGCTTGGGCTCCTCTGAACCTGGTGATGGGTATATAAAGTCTGACCTTCACTAGTATCGGGCACTTCTTCTTCACTCTGATTGTTGCTCTCTTCGATCTGCTGTCTCCTTTTTTCGAGCTCCTCAAACATCTCTTCTTTGGTAGGAATAGTAGCTGTATACCAAGGGTGCTCTCTGATCTCAGCCAGTGAAGGTCTCTCATGAGGATTCAGTGATAGGAGACCATTGATGAGATGCCTAAAATCTTCTGAGAAGAAGTCCAAACCACCTTCCCTGCTCCTACTATGGGCATGCCAGAATGTATCAATCCTATTTGACCTAATAAGATTGTAGTGAGGATCAGAGAGAGAAGATTCCCTAAATGGAGGATTTCCAGCAACCATGGAGAACAAGATGACCCCCATAGCGAACAAGTCAATGCATGGGCCGCTATACTCCAACCCAGTATAGATCTCAGGAGCCATGTATCCTCCAGTTCCTCTCCTGGTCTCATTTAAGGCTTGATTCGATGAGAAACCGAAGTCTGCCAATTTCAGGTCAAATTCATCATCAAGCATCATGTTATCCGGCTTAAGATCTCTATGAGAGATCCCTTGGCTGTGAAGATGGTCAAGACCTTCAAGCATTTGGTGGAAGTAATACCTAGCATGATCTTCTATGAACCTTCCAGTTAATATAATTAAATCACAGAGATCTCCATTCGTTGCTAGCTCTAATGCAATGTACATGACTGGAATCTCTTGTCCATCAGGCTGTGTTAGGATGGCCTCTTCACTCCAACCAATAAGGTTGACAATATTTGGATGGTTAAGATCTTGTAAAATACTATTTGTGGTAAGTAAGAATTTTCCATAATAGCTTTGAAATTATTGGTTAATTAAAAGATAATTTTAGAGCTACTTTTGATGTTCAAAATTTGATCAAAAATCAACTAAAACTCATCCTATACACCAAAAAACACTCCTCTGCATCCAAAATCCCTCCAAAATCCTCTAAAACACCTACCTGATCTCATTTCGAACCAATTCCAAATCCACACTCATCTCCTTCATAATCTTCAATGCAACCACTTCCCCTGTCTCCACATGCTTTGCCAATTTCACTCTACAAAATCAATCACTCAAACCCCTACTCTGAAAACCCTCCTGTGCCAATAGTCCTCAAGCATTCATACGGCCCTCAAGTTGAATTCTCCATTTTCTATAATTTATGTAAGAAAAGGGGTTTTGGGGTTTTGGGGTTTTGGGGTTTTGGGGTTTTGGGGTTTTGGGGTTTTGGGG